TCTCTCTCTCTCTCTCGGTATAATATTATCAGTAACAATCAAATATTAACAATATTATCAAGTAACAAAATGATCAGTTTGTTCATTTATGTAGGGACATCAGAGAAATTCTATAATGTCTGATGGCCACCAATTGGCATTAAGAGATACATTTTAATGTATCGCTATACCATTATTTTATTTAGTATTTTATATTTCAAATCCAGATATAGTATAGATGGAGATGGTATATAGTATTTTTCTTACTCAAAGGAGAATAGTATATAACATATCTACCTCACACATTTTTAATATTAGTAATATCTAATGGAATAAGTCTGAAATAAATATAAAAAGATGAGAACTGAATTAGCCTTTTTCACCCCAGTGTTCTGAACTTTCACCTAAAGGCAAACTGCTTTAGAAGTTTGGGTGCAAGATACTTATGCACCTGGCTAAGGTGACATACAGATGCTATCTATAAATTTTATGAATCGCTTTTTTCATTTCAAGCAATAGAATTGTAGCTTTGTCCTTTCTTTATTCAAATCCATCAAATCAACTAATAGCCAAATGTTTCCTGATTCATGTTTATTTCAGATAAACTCAGCTTAATCATTTTGACTGCTAAAAATTATTTGCTGAAGTTTGTTGGCTAAAAGAACAGTTGAGATTTTAATATGTATAACAAATTTCCAGTACTGGGATTTAATAAAATCTGGAGGGTTTCTGTAATCAAGTAAAAGGATTGTTTTAATGCATAAATTCAATTGGAGTCCCTATATAGGTGACAGCATAAAGTATATTTGAAAGATTTTCTATTAATATACAAGCTCCATTCACCAATGAATAACTGAAAATATTATGTAGATGTCTGCATTAATTATCAGCCATTCAAATTTAGAACAAACAATACAAAACAAAAACAAAAATGGGGGAAAATGTCACTCTTTTTTAGAGCTTGTAATATAACATCAGATAATTTTCATATAAAATAATTATCTATAAATTTAATTGTTATTATTTGGTCATTGACTGCATTGATGCCAAAGTTGGAAATAAAGAGGAAAACATAACTGAAATATATGGCCTAGGAGAACAACTTATCAGATTTGCCAATCCCTTGTGTCTTTTTAAACATGCATTTGGGGATGACAGAGGTACCTAAACTGAGATGAATTTTACTGTTTGTGGTTATATTCAGCTTTTATTTGCAGGATGTTTAGTAAAATTGTAATAAGCAGCGATCAAATTATCAACCACAGAAGTCAGCAAAATGTAGCATTCTGCTCACTCAAACATCTCAAAAAAAGAAGTTGTGTTCTAAGGAGAAAATAAAATTCCTGAAACACACTCATTTCAAATATTGTAAGAGACTGAGGGAACAGGTGGAGGAGTTCTGGTGGTATGAGAAAAGGCATCACAACCCAGATGTGCAAGATGTGGGAAAGAAATGTTTCAAAAAGACTCTGCCCTGACAGCAATTTGCTGCAGGGCTTCTTTCAACATCATGTTTTTACCCATTACAAGCAATAAAAAAACCTTTCTGAAATCTATGTGGTCTGACTTCTGGTTTTTGTCAAGTTTGTGGAGTTTGGCGAGCATGGAAAACTCACAGCAGCTGTTTTGTGACTGGAATATTTTAAAGTTAAAATGCTTGCACATCCCTATTTGTCAATTCCTAAGCCATGCAGGATGAATGGATAAAGAGTGGTGGGGTAGGCAGGTTGGATTGGGTACCAGAGATGATCACCTTATTTTGTCAAGCCCATAACAATATACTACAGTCCAGCAAGAAACAAACATAATGTGTTTATATGTAAATAAAAATCCTCCCTCACCTCTAAGGGTGGTAAGTATCTTCCTCAATATTGGGTCCTCTACCAGAGGCCTGGGAGTTTGAGGGTTCTATGCAGTATCTTAGCTATTCCTAGCACCGCACTCTTCTGGACAAAGAGCTTGGATGTTGTTCCTGGGGTCTACTGGAAGCCACTCTCCCAGCTTGGAGTCACAGTCCTGAGTTCTAATAACACCACTGGGACCACTTTGGCCTTTACTTTCCACATCCTCTCTAGTTCTTCCTTTGGGGCCTGGTACTTCTCCAGCTTCTTATACTCCTTCTTCCTGATGTTGCTGCCACTTGGCACTGCTACATCTATCACTACCGCCGTCTTCTGGTCTTTGTCTACTACCACGATGTCTGGTTGATTGGCCAGTAACTGCCTATCGACCTGGATCTGGAAGTCCTACAGGATCTTAGCCCTGTTATTCTCCACAACCTTCTGTGGAATCTCCCATCTGGACTTGGGAGGGTCTAGTGACTCTACTCCATACACTGTGCAGATGTTCCTGTACACAATGCCAGCTACTTGGTTGTGCCGTTCCGTGTATGCTGTTCCTGCCTGCATCCTGCCCCCTGCCACTATGTGTTGGACTGTCTCTGAGGCCTCTCTACACAATCTGCACCTTGGGTCCTGTCCAGTGTGGTAGATCCCTGCTTCTATGGATCTGGTG